CGTCCACTTCCACCTAGGGTGATATCGTAGACAAACCCTAGCTGTTGACGCAAGATGGATAATAAAGTTATTATACTCATTTGATGTGTTCGAGTTCAGCATGAGCAACTTGCTTTGACTGACTGGGACTGGTTGCTTTGAATTTTAAGACCTTTTTCTGTTCAATTGAAGCCAGTTGATCTCCGCAGTGAGGTAGTAAGCCTCGCTTTAATTATTTTAACACTAACAGCGGCAGCCCCTTTTGCGTTTTTGATTGTATCTGACAATACCTACATATTGATAATTTTATAGAACTGAACAATTTCTTCCATAGCCATAATCTCAGACATTATCTTGTTAAAAAGAATTTGCATAAAAGCAAACAATGTATATGCAAGTGTTTTAAACACAATTTGAGCAAATCCGACGATAACGGATGTTGTAGAATGCAGTCTTTGGTGTGAGAAATGGAATGGGGTTTTAACACGGATTTTTCTGGGGGGGGGGGGGGTCGCCATTCGCCGATTCAGGTGAAGAGACACCGGGTATAACAATTTTCTGCCCAGACCGAGGAAAATTTTAGGACACAAGGTCAGAAATATAACCCATGACCAGAGGACTCCCAGGCTTCAGTCGGTCTGCCAAGCCTACTAGGTAAAACCCAAAACTAATCCTTAACCCACAACCCATGCGCACATTTAATAACGGACCTTTAGGCAAATGATGCTAATCGGAAAATAAACCCGGTTGATAATCCACGTTTAGCTGCACCCAGTCATTTCCACACCCTGGAAAAGATTTCATCCCACCCCACTCCCAAGGACAAATACTTTCACCCCCCCCCCATCCAAAGGACAAATAAAAACATCTTATATATCATGAAATATTCTTTAATTATAATTAATGATCATATAGTCAGTAGTTTAGTTTCCAATAAAACATTTTCAGATCAAAACTCTTTAAGGAAACTCAAAAAATAGCAGTTAACAACTCCACTTAAATTGTCACCTGGGATATTCTCAAAAGCACTTTTACAATGCAAAATGATACGCGCAAAATAATGATTATTGATATTAACAGTCTAAATAACATTCTTTGTTATGTTCTCAAGTCATCAACAATGTCCATTTATAGATTATGCATGACTCAATTACATAATAACACAAAATGTAGTCTATTTTGGAATGACATGGACAAATGCAACATTATGAAAGCACTGGTAACCACACGTACTCGGACTCCAAAACACTAAAATTGAAGTTATTCATAATGAAAATAATGATAAGGCGTGACAAATAAGATACAAAAAGGAAAAATTAATTTGCCAATATTCAAGCACTCAAGGATCGACTAGTTCAGTTATTGGCTTTGTGTTGGCAATTGTTCATTTATAAAATTCACTTGAATACGAGCATAAGATAAAATTGTTCATTGAACCACCCTTTGGTCTAAACAAAAAAATATTCACCAACATTTCTGAAGATGTATTAACAGTGCATCACCGCGTCCTATTAATGAATGGATTAGTGAATTAAAGAAAACAGGGTACCCAAGTTGTAAAATTGGAATTCCATGGTTCAACATTAGGTTGATTATAAATTCTTAAATGTTTTAGCAGTCAATCTAGACTACCATCTTCCTCCATCTCGTCCTCCACCTCCGTATCCACCACCGCCGCCTCCATAACCACCACCACCTCCGTAACCACCGCCGTCACGTCCTCCGTAACCGCCGCCGCCTCCGCCATATCCTCGTCCTCCTCCACCACCACCACCACCGTATCCTCGATCTTCACTACATAAACTTTCAATTAATTTTTTGGCAGTATGTTGAGCATTTTCATTTCCAGATAAATCAACTCGGGCTTGTCCTTCACGGTCACTTTCCCGGCTCTCGATTTTAATGTGACAACCACTTTCGTCCTGAAAAAATTAAATCAAGAAAAATTTAATGTTACATGCATGATTAATCTATACAATTGTATTCACCACGATTTTACCAGGAACAGATTACTTCTAGTCCTATCATCACACGTTCAGGAATAACCTTCCGGTTACAACCCTAGAAAAATACTTTTTGGAGAGAAAAAAAAAAAAAAAAAAAAAAAAAATTGTAATGTTCCCACTAGCCTAGATCTAATTAAATTTGTCCAATGTCGAATATTTTTTTTTTAACGTCACTAGATCTAACTCGAGTTAACCCACATGTAAAATATTAGAGTTAACCCACATGTAAAATATTAAGTGTTGAAAGTTCCGCGGTACAATTTAATTTGCCAAAAACAAGCTACCGGTAATGTCCATTGTTCAAGTTGCGGCCATGCTGTCCATTGAAATTATTTTTATTTTAATATCTGACTATCGGCATTGAGCCAGCCAGCCAAAACTTTCCTTCTGGTTGTAGAAGACAAAAACACTTCAAATTAAAATCGATTTAAATAGATGGGCCAATGTCCCAATATTTTTAACAAATATTTTACCAAATGTTTCATTCCAAAATCAAAATGGCAGCTTCGTCATTTGAGAAAGCACGTGGCTCAATCAATTTGGACGCCAAAACCACGTGGTTCTGTGAAAAATCAACCCGGTAACTCATTTTCAATTCTCACAAAGAAACATTTACCTGTAAATCTCGAATTTTACTGCCTCCTTTACCAATAACTCTTCCAACAAATTGTTGATCAATGTAAAATGTTAATTTGTCTCCGCTATCGCCGCCTCCAAAACCTCTACCACCACCGCCTCGGCTTCCGTAGTTATCCATGACTTCGACTTGTTCTGTTCAGTGCAAAGCGGGAACTGACGAAGCACGTTGTCCACCCAGTTAAATAGTCGCGCGATCTTTTTTGGCCAGATCATTTAGTCGCTCATGGTGATTGTCTCGAGTTGTCTCTTTACAATAATACATGGTAGCGGGCCAAATAGAAGTTGAAGTTGTAAATTTTCAAATTTAATACTGATTCCATGTGCTTTTTAATTTCAATAATAAAGCTTTCTATTTGATGAACGCCATCTCCACTCATAATAAGCTAACTGGCTAAAGATGTTTTTTTTTTATTATTTGAAGAGGGCATACGTACGTGGTGTGTCATGAGGGAGAGGAAATAGGCCTAGAATATAAGCCCTAGCTGAAACTTACAATATAAATTGTTTTTGTATTATGTCAGCAAGGTAAATAATTGTGGATGGTGCAAGTGTTGTTGTTTTGATCCTTTGCTTTTGCGTTAGATTCGCTTAAATCGGGTGAGGGAAATGAAAGGAAATGGGGTTTAACGTCCTACTATTCTGCTCCGGCTGGGCTAATGAAGACGGAAATACGCCACACACGAGTTATAAGAAAAATCGTGCCCGGACAGCCGCGCTACGGCTTACTCTTTTGTCGAATTCCAACTGTCAAAAGATATTTTACGTGCACGCCAATGTGTGTACACGGTACCTCCATTTTTCGTCCAATCCAAACGACACATTAAATGTCCCTTGCAAGACTCTCAGTCCTGCACCACTGACAAGGAGGAACCACGCCTTGATATCCCGTAGAACTTTCTCGGTCAGCGCAGGGATCCAACACGGGACCTCCAGGTTAGTGAGCCAACGTCTTACTGACTGAGCCACCGTGTCTCCCCAATTCGAGTGAGGGGATCAGGGTGATGGACCGCTAATCCCCAGTTCACTCTCTCTGTGTCTAGGTCGTGTGCTTTTTGTTGTTGTGTGAGTTTGGTGGACTTTTTTTTGTTTGTTTTTTTTTGTTTTTTTTTTTGGGGGGGGGGGGGGTAATAAAAATGATGGTGGTTCACAGGTGCGTTTTCTTTTTATTTGGAAAGAGCAAAACTGAACCACTGCGTCATTTTCACGTCAATAACCATGTCAAGCTTATGAAACTAGAAGGTAATGATTTCATACATTATTAATTATAAAAGAGAGGTGAACTCAGATATATTCGCACGTAACAAAAGGTACTTATAATTGTGTAAAGAAATATCAAATCTGAAAAATCCTATTATAAAACAAAACAAAAAAAATTTATTATTATATTCGAATTCATTAAAGGACCGCATGTCCATGCAAAAAATTATAAAATTTAATAGGGCCAAATATATGTAACCATATAATGGACAAGGCATAAAATGGATGTTTGATTCGTTTGATTGATTTTAAAAACATGTTGATTTAATTATCCCAGAATGCCTGTCAGGGCATCCAGATGGACGCTTGATAATTGATTCCATTGATGATGTAATAGATAATTACGTTAACTCTGACACGAACCGGGAAACGAGGTTTAGTAGAGATGTTAAAAGAAGGTGTTGATATAAAATGTATACAATCTATTGTTAAAATGTCATTAGGGACAGTAAAGAGATTAAAGTAGGGGATTCTCGGTCTGTAATTAATTCTTTGAAGATAAGCCATGATTCCTTGACCCCAGGCCTTAACACCCTTAACACACACGGTCTCTGCACATTCAAACATCAAAATGACCTTACACAATAACTATTATACTGAGAATAAATGTGAGCTATTATATCCATCTATTAAAACATCTAGAAAAATTCAGTTGAATGGCTAATAAGTGACTTTACGAGAAATTTAGCAGACATATATACAACCTTGCCTTTTGTAACCCATTAACAGAACACAGCTTTTATGGGAAACAATCTCTAGTAAAAAAGACACTTGGTCTAAAGTCTAAACGAGACATACTACTCTTCTTTCTTTCTTTTTTTTATCTCACTGCTCACATTTCCCTAATAGCACACTATGTCCATCTTCATTAGCCCAGTCAGCAAAACAGCAGGACGTTAAACCCTATTTCATTTCTATTTGCTAAATAATTCTATATATTATATTCCGTTCGCGACTTGGTCCACATTGACCCCCTGAACTTCTTGACTCATATTCATTCTAACATAAATTTGATAAAGAAATAGGTGAAGAATTAGGTGAGATCGATATAGATTGTACATTATTTGAACAATTAGAAACCTAATAGCGTCGGCTACTTCACGCGCCTTTAGATGAAGACAGAATTGAACTTCATGTTTATTTTTTAGAAAATTAAATACATTGACAATAGGCCGTTCTAGCTATATTTTCTCTCATGTGTGTGGGGGTGCGTATAATTTTCTTGGCCTGTTTAAGGAACAGTGGGACAACTGAAATCTTTGCTTTTGGAGTTACTAACTAAATCTAGGTCACATTATAGCGTGGCTTTATCATTGTTCTGCACTCAGTCAATGATTTCTTTGTCTTGTCTTACGAACGCCTGGTTAATCTTGTCGGAACGCATGCGCATCAGGTATAACGCTTCAACACACTTGCGCTTCATAAACGGGCAAAATTTTGGTAGTATTTACCAGTTTGTGAGAAGTAAAAAAGCAGGCAAGATGTCTTACGGTCAAGAGAGAGAGTACGGTCGGGGCGGCGGCGGTGGTAGCCGAGGTTATCCTGGAGGAGATGGAGGTGACAAATCTACTTTCTATGTTGATCAGCAACATGTTGGAAGAATCATTGGAAAAGGTGGAAACAGAATTCGCGATTTGCAGGTAACAAATTAGGCCTAACTACTGAAATACCGGGTCTCGGGGGGTTATTTTGGGTGAGATTGTACACCAATGCTTTATCGGTTCTCAGTATAATATTCGAAACGGGCGATCAAAATAAAATATCGGGAATCTATTTTTTGAATGTAGATCTAACTAAAATGTTGAAATGACAAGAAAAATAATTTAGGCCAAACTACAACGCGTGGGAACCACGTGGTCGAGCTGTGTAAAGGTTTTACTAAAACGCTCCGCGGCCAGTCATGGTGTTAGTAGGATTTTCAGAAGGATTTATTTCCAAAGCCCTCACTTATTAGAACACAAACTTACATTTCCATTACAATCAGTGTTGCTTTTTCATATACTTTTTTTTTTAGAGAATGAGATTTGTTACACTACGTAATCAAATTTGGACCGGTGCGTGTTAATATACCGCCATCTTGCTGGTAGTTATAGTCTGTTTCTATAATCCCGACCTTGATACCATGTCCTTGGTTTAATGCCTTTAAAAACTTGGGAGCCCCCAGCCAGACAATGCATAAATGGTTACAGTTTGGTTTAGGATTCAACAAAAGATAATCACATGTAATGCGTTTACAATAGCGGAGAGTATGCTTGTTCAAATATTGTTCAAAGAAACTAATGGTTTTAAGTACTTTGTAGATTAAAAGAGTAAAGTATAGTATAGCTCCCTGTGAAACCTGTATCATTCACATAAATTTGTGATTTGTCAGGTCCTCCGTCCTGCACCAGACAATGGGAAACCACGTTGGAAAATGTAGGGATTAAACACCCAACCTCCAAGCTAGTGAGCCAGCATCTTAGCGACCGTGGCTCCCTTGTAATTCTCTTTAATTTATTTTAAAATATTCGCCATTGTCTCACAATTTCTAATCCGATATTGGCGAAACTTATCCCAAAGATTTGTTCCTTTCGATATTGGCAGGGGTATTGAATTACTTTGGTATTGGTGTGCATCAAATCTGAACTTATTGTTGAATTATTGAGGAATTACATCTGTATTAAGCCTGGTGCATACCGGCTAAAATTTGTTGGCCGAACAATTTTTTTCATCAGAAGTTAGCCGGTGTGCATTGATTTCAATACAAACATTTGTTGGCTGAACAATGTTCGCAATATCAAACTCATTTGATTTCAAAAACATTGTTCGGCCAACAAATGTTTGGGTTGGTCTCGATTGCATTGAATTTCAACAAAAAGCGAAACATTTTATACGAATATGACCAGGTAGTTTTGTTAGATGCCAACAAATGTTAGTCTCTGTGGTGGGTTTACACAACAATTTATATTTGTGTTTATGCTTACATGAGGGTTATGTCCTGTATTCTCCAAGTTATTTGTGATCTTGAGAATATTGATATGATTAACCTGTTAAGTGTGTAAGTCGTTATATAATGTCCTGGACAACTGCCACTCACTGTGTGTAGGGCATAATATAACGCCTTGGAGGTATTTTCCCTAACCTATTCTTAGAACATAGTTCGTCACTTGGGGGAATTCCCCCACGATCGCAGCATGTGTAGGACGTTGTATTACGTCTTGGACTACTGCCACTCACTGTGTGTAGGGTGTAATATAATGCCTTGGAGGTATTTTCCCCAACCTATTCTTAGAACATAGTAGTACATAGTTCTTTGTCAAATTAATTACACAATAGGGGATAGTTAACATTTTAAAAACGTCACGCTTAACGGGTTGACGTATTAAACAATGTCTATTTTTATCATTATCAATTGTCCCCGATATGGACAAATTCTCTTTAACTGCTTGCAATACACCATTTTTAAAACCAAGTCTTAGTCAGATTTTACCTATTTTCAAAATTCGATGTGAAGCATTGGGACACTGAGGATCAGTCCTATGGGATTTCCTTGTTCTGTCCATCTCTTGCCAAGTGTGGGAGTATCTTACATGGCATGGCAACCGCTTGTTTGACAAGTTGTTTCAAATATACATTATTTTGCAGGATGAAAGTGGGTGCCAAATTAAGATTGAAAGCCGAAACAGTGATAGAGAGGGGCAAGCTCGAGTTGATTTACTTGGTGATTCAAGCTCACAGTCGGCTGCCCGTAGTTTGATACAAGACATATGCGATCAACCCCCTAGAGAAGGTGGAGGAGGAGGATACAGAGGTGGTGGCCGAGGAGGTGGCGGCGGCAGAGATAGAGGATATGGGGGTGGACGTGATGGCGGATATGGGGGTGGACGTGATGGCGGATATGGGGGTGGACGTGATGGTGGATATGGGGGTGGACGTGACGATAGGGGATATGGAGGAGGAGGCGGCGGTGGCCGATACAACAATGGAGGTGGCTGGGGATCTTGAAGTGATCCGTCTCCTCTTTAAAGTAGTGGTTATTCATATGCCAGTACAATTCTTTTAAAAACACTTATTGACTACCACATTGAAATCTTTATACCCTGTTGACTGCCCGTGATGTTCTTGACATCTGATTCCATGATTTTGTTTCCGAACCTTGAGCCCTCGATAATTTGAATGTTGTGGGTTATTGTTTACTGGCCTGCGACTTATGAAGTCAATATATTTTATCCTATATGAGTAATTACCTAGATCTACGGTTTAAACTAGACAATGCGTAGAGTATTTTAGTGATACATGAATTGAACTATTGTGTGTGTTGTCGACATATTCACAACTGTTTTATGATTGCCTATTATCGATTTTCATCTTGTATTTAATGATTACCTGTCGACTTTGCCTAGAACTTTAATGATTGCCTGTCAACTTAATCCCAGACCCTGATCCTAATATGACTGTCAACATTTGCCCGTAACTAAATAATGGACCATGTATATAAGATTACTTGAATACTGACTTCCAAATTGAGGTGATCGATACATCTTCACTTAATGTATGATAAAACTGAAACTTTGAATATTGTGCCTCAAGAAAGAATTAACTTGAAGAGGTTTTGATTTTGCCACTTGCTAATACATGTGCTCGAATTTTATGTAATATTTATGAACAGTGACTTGAACTTGACCATATTGAAACTTGTACATTTGTATCATTATCATACCATTTTTCATGAACTATTGCCTGCCATTGTTTACATTGATCGCATTTGAAATTGATAAAATTGACTTGGGTGTGTGAATTTGAAAACATACAGACAATACAAGTGCTCATCTGTCCATACTGCGTGGTCGCCATTGTCTACCTTTTTTTATCGGCATAATCTTGATGAACTGATGTAACATCCTGAAAACATAACTTGCCCATTGACTTTGTTTTTCATGATGTGGACTATTTACATCGTTGATAATTTGATTGTGGGAACAACCTTATTTCACCATTTTGTACTAAGTGTGATTCACCTTCCTTTAATATAACACAATGGGAAGTGTGTTAACATGCTGTGATCTTACACTAGTAATAATACCCAGGGTGATATTTGAGATATTGTATATTATGCTAATCCAACGCGAGCTTGACCTGACATTATTGACTGTTTTTAAACTGGAACCCTCCTCATGAATGTTATCAGTATTTAGTTAAGACTTATTTGAACCAGTGCTGCTATATTTTATTTACTGAATTATAATGAACTTGAATTGAATCGTAATAAACTGAATACTAAAGTGGTAAATCATATTGAATCTTGTAAAGCAATCCTTTTCCAGCAAGTTAGAGCATGTCCACTGATGGTAAAACATGTGGGTAAGGGGGGGCTGTAATTTTATGTATGTGATCAAAATGTATTGACAGACCTTGAAAAAGTGTTCTCAATCTACATCAATTTAAATGACTTTTTCTGATGCGATTTCATTGCTCACCTTAGTATCTCCCATGAATGAATACCTGGCATTTATTCGTCCATTTTCCTGCCTAAGGGACCAGTCCATATCGTACTTTATATGTATTACCCAACTACCAATGGATTCCGATAAAAAAACAAAACAAACTACCGCTTTTGTGAGTGAACAGATATTTGGTAATGAAGCAAGTGACTAGATGGTAATGGTCAGAATATGCCAGATGGATCTAGAGGATTACTCTTATGAATTGATCTTCATTTAGAGAATGGAAGCTTCTTGAACAAAAATGTCACTTATGGTCTTAAGGCTGTAACTCAATATTATCCAGTTGAATCCTAGTTCAAAGTATCTCATGAATTGTGACAAACAATTAACATGGTAAAGCGACCTTATGTTTGTAAACACTAGCGCCTGCTAATAAGTTCATGGAACTGTTACGAAAATGGATTCATAATTATTTTTTTACCGCCATCACTCAGAAACCGTTATCCCATGTTACATCATAAGGATAATTCCTTTGCAGTCATTGGTGCATGAAGATGTTTCACAGACTTCAACGATATCTGAAATTGTCAAGTATTCAAATGAAAACCGACAGTGTTTTAAGTATTTCTAATGAGAATTGGCAAAATTTTGTAATGAATATTTATTTCAAATCAATTCTAAAGTATCTTGCCATGAAAACGGGCCTCCAAAAGCAAATAATTAAGACGGTAACAATTTTTAAAAAAAAACGGTACACACCAGCGTACATGGAAATGTGGTCGTATATTGCCATAGCCCTTGTCCGTATGTCTCTCCGTACAAACATCTGCCGTACACAATTTCTTGTGAACACGCTACAGACTACATTTATCATCTGATTGTTTTGAAATTGATATATGTTGTTTACACCAGTGAGTTGAAGAATCCTATTTTATTTCAATAATTTCCGTTAATTTCTTTTCTTGGAGTTATGGCCCTTGTTCCACATTGTTGAACCTGTGGCCCTTGTTTAAGGATAAAATTTATACGCATCATTTAGAATAGTGACATGAAGAAGCCTAGTGAATTTCAGCAATTTCCAATAATTACGTATAGTTATTGCCCTTTTTATACGCTCACATTGAAATGGGGTCGTACATTGTCGTTGCTGGCGGTCCGACGTCCACAATTGCTTGTGCGACGCTCTAGAGGCTAAAGTTAATATCCGATTGACTTTAAATTTATACACAGTGAGACGAAGAAGCCCCTTGATTTTCAATGATTTCTGATAATTACTGCCAAAGTTATGGCCCTTGATCACTTTGAAAAATCTTGTGACTGCTCTTGAGGTTAAAGTTATCCGATTGACTTTAAAGTTATACACAGTGTTAAAGGTCATGAGACAGTCTGTTCATTTTAAGCGATTTTCGATAATTACTGCCAGAGTTATGGCACTTGATACTTCAAAAAATCTTGTGGCCGCACTAGAGGTAAAAGTTAATATCCGATTGACTTTAAATTTATACACAGTGTTTAAGGTCATGAGACGAAGAAGTGTATTCATTTTCAGCGATTTTCGATAATTACTGCCAGAGTTATAACCCATGATCACTTTAAAAATCTTGTAAATGCTCTAGAGACTAAAGTTAATATCCGATTGACTGTAAATGTATACACTGTGTTTGAGGTCATGAGACGAAGAATCATATTGATTTTAAACGATTTCCGATATTTACTACCAAGTTATGGCCCTTGATCACTTTGAAGAATCTTGTGACGCTCTAGAGGTGAAAGTTATCATCCGATTGACTTCAGATTGATACAAGTTTAAGGTCTTGAGACGGAACAAGTATATTGATTTTCAATGAATTTTTATGATTTGAACAGCTTAATCCATGATGTCAAAAGTTTGGCATACTAAACGTTAACATGGGGCAAAACTTTATAAAAACCAAACAAATTGTAATGGTTTTCTGATAATTACTTAAAGTAGCTAAGTCTCTAACTCAATATCATGCAAAGTCTTGGACATTGATAACACAAAGTATTTGTCTATTTAAATCAACATTGATGTTGTGATCTTACCGAGAAAAGATGGGCTTCTGAAATCCAATATTTAAGACAAAATAAACATTTTACCATTGGTACACGAATCGTGTACCATAATGCATTTAGCGTCATTTGTAACAAGGGACTCAAAGAACGAGGCTAGACATATACCACACGTCATGTCAAATAGTGAGGCCATATTCTTATCTGGAGAGCATGCACAATAAATACTATTGGTGTAGACTGGAATAACCAGGCGCTAGAGATGGTCATTCGATTGAGACTTCTGGCGTATTTCGCTGAACATATCTGATTAGAAATTACAGTAAAATCAGAAACGATGGAATGTAAATCAGTTTATATACACTCGTATTACATCATGTGTTGCGACCCATTTGTATCCATTTCTTGGTCCTGAATATTAGTGATTTAGCTCCTTTAAATGAGTTCTTACTCTTAATCAGATTTTAATCTATCTTCTATACTAATATTTGTGACTGTCGTTTGTCTGTCTTTTCGGGGTTGGCAGCTACACTAGGTCTGCCCCTAGTCTGAAATTTGGGGTATAGGGGTAGCTCGGACCGGGGAGTAACATAGGCCAGGTGAATTTAGTCTACCACTTCCTGTTTCGGGGTTATGACCCCCGAGCGAAGCCAGGCATTCTTCTAGTGTATTATAAATGTTTCATTACCAAAAAAAAGTAAAAATACGCAACAACCCTTGTTGACTGCCTGGGCGATATAGCTGCTGTGGGCATATGTTTCATTGCCTGGCAATCTTATCTTTTAACTTTGTTGAACCTTGTGAACATTCGAATTGACGAAGTTATCATCTCATCTGTACGGAATTTATATGCATCATTTAAATTAGTGAAACGAAGAATCTTTTTGAATTTCAGCAATTTCCAATAACTACTTGTAGAGTTATCCCCCTTGTTTTACTTTGTTAAACCTTGTGAACGCTCGAATGAGGAAATTTTTTATCCGATCTATATGAAATTTATATACACAATATTTAAATTGGTGAGACGAGGAATCCTGTTGAATTTTAGCAATTTCCGTCAATTATTTCTAATGGTCCTTGTTTTACTTTGTTGAACTTGCAAAAGTTTGAATGATAAAATTATCATCCAATCTGTATAAAATTTATATGCATTATTTAAATCAGTAAAACACAAAAGCCTGTCGAATTTCAACAATTTCTGTAAATTTCTTCCAGGGTAAGGGCCTTGTTTTGTTTCGGATTTTTTACGCCCACATAGAAATGTGGATGTATATTGCCGTCGCCCCCGTCCGTCCATCGTCCCAATTTCTTGTGAACGCTCCAACGCCAAAAGTTGTCATCCAATTGTTTTAAAATTGATATATGTTGTTTGCATTAGTGAGATGAAGAAGCCTATTTAATTTTAATTATTTTAGTTTATAACGTCTTAGAGTTATGGCCCTTGTTTCACGTTGTTGAACCTTGTGAATGCTCTAACGCCAAAAGTTACCATCCGATCTTTCTGAAATTTATACGCAATATTTAAATTAGGGAAACGAAGAAGTCTATTGAATTTCAGCAATTTTTGTTTATTACGTCTAGAGTTATTGCCCTTGTTTCACTTTGTTCAACCTTGTTAATGTTCGATTGATGAAAGTTATCATCCCGTATGTATGAAATTTATATGCATCATTTAAATTTGTGAAACGAAAAAGCCTGTCAAATTTCAACAATTTCTGTAGAATACTTCCAGAGTTGAGACCCTTGTTTCAATTTGTAGAAACTTGTGAACCCTCAAACAGCAAAAATTATAATCTGATCTGTATGGAACTGTCTTGTGAAGGCCTCCAATTACCCACAAAAGAATAAATGCAACAACCCTTGTCAACCGCTCGGACGATTTAGCTGCTGTGGGCGTATGTTTCGTTGCCTGGCAACTTATATTTAGAACCTTTTGAACCCTCAAACCACGAAAATTATAATCTGATCTGTATGAAATTGTCTTGTAAATACCCCAATTAGCTGCTGTGGGTATGTTTTGTTGCCTGGCATCCTATCTTAATTGAGGTAGAATGTTTAACTTTGATGTAAACGTTCATTAGGTGAATGTGTTGACCGAGGTCAATGGATTAACATTTCCTACAAAAGCTAAGCAATTTCATTGGTGGATGCTTTGGGACCAGAAAACTTTGATGCTGATTTCAAGTGATGAAACTTAGTGTATAGTGTCACTACCAGGTACTTCAAAATCTTGTCGAGTTTGATCATGAACATTTTTTGCTTAGACTAAGTATATCTAATCAGTTTGATTGGTCAATACTTTTGAAAAAGATAATTTGCAATTAATCAATATGTGTCCTCTATATATATTTTGGGATTTCGGCTGGGGAAATCGACCTCACAGTCACTGTTGGCTTGTTTATATTACAGAGACTTAAATTTGTTGTAGGACTTCCAGTGTAATTGCACTTGCCCACTTGTAAGATTTTATTTGTGTGAGAGATTTCTATGCAATTTTAGATAGTGGAACCAATTCTCACATAAAATTTCAATAATTGTTGGTGTTAATTGTCTCCTGTCTTTGGGAGAAAACAGGATACTATACTCTTCAAAAAAAGTTGGGGATACTGAAATGCAAATACCTATGCAGGTTGCGATATGATAGTCATGGACATTTGACATGCTTTGAGGGTATGTTCACAGATGAACACTGAGCTGCACATGCGGCACGCAATAGCGCTATTCACGTGGGAGGTGTTCATTGTCAAATTTGACACTTCAAGGAAGGGTTGATGAAAACTGCTGCGTGCTAGTTTATCTATCCATGTTTGCTTTC